AAGCTGTGGAGCAGGTACATTAACCAGCGACACCTTTTCCCTGAAGTCGGTTCCACTGAAGTCTTCTGCTCGTCGACACGTGAGCTCCGCTGCGGAACCCACTGCTCCAATCACCAGCGAGCGTCATTAGGGCTGAGCGATGGGCCCATCCTCCAGAATGATACAGTGAACACATGAATGAAACTCAACTATTTTTCATTCCCACTCATGGATTTTATGTGCTACAAATGTGCTCATAATGAATAATGTACAGTAATTGACAAACAGAGGTGGTCGCACTCCTCAAGGTGATCTGTCAGAGCCATAACGCGGGAAACAAATGTCTGTCGTTTGTTCAGAGATAACAAGTGAACGAGAGAAGACAAAGAGGCCAAGCGTGTTCTGTGAGAGGCTTTTATCCTAATGGCATACAAAGTTTAATGTGGTCTTATCACCGGTTAGTGATATGACACAGCTCCGATCCAATAATCAGATCTGCCTCCCCCCTCCCTTTCTACTTTTCAGGCCGTGCATGTGACAAGGTGAATTTAACCACGTGTCTGTCTCTGCTTTGTGGTGCAACAAACTACTGTAAAGAAAACTACTGTAACAAACTACAATAAAAAAAATTAAAAACTATTGTAACAATCAAGTCAAGTCCGGGAACTATTGTACCTGAACTATGGAATGAGCTGGACTTCCTGAGGACCTGTTCCAGCTTATTCCTGCCCCTCTGTGATGCTGCGGCTCCAGCAGACCACATGTATATTCATGTCTAGAATATTCAGTGCTTTTGTGTCTGTTTTTTGAAGACCACTTTGCAATGGGGCAGAGGGCTCCAATCCCTCCCTCAAACACTGGACCTCATCCATCAATCCAAGCGTGGATGTGAGGGATCATTGCTGGTATTGTTTTCCTAGTTCAATTTTAATTAAACCACTTTGAATTTTTTGAGTGTCCGCCAATTTATGTTTACTCAATTCTTACTTATAAATGGCTTGCAATGTCAAAACACAATACCAGGAGAGCTGCCGTCTCTCAGTTCAATATGTCAAAGAAAAACATTCTGAAACATTTATCATAAAAACAATCAAAATGTGGAAATACTAAACAAAATCAAAAAGTCAACATAGCAATATCCGTACTGGACTCTCACATTGTAACAATAATAATCACACACTATTTCATTGAACAAAACAACACTTTGTCTGACTCCTATCTCATATTAGAATGAAAAATGAGTATGTAATGTCTCCCACTCGCACAGCGCTCGCACGGTGCTGGTCCTGGCAGTGTTTCATTACTGCGCCTGGGCCGTATATGCCACAGTCGACGCCCATTTGGGAAGATGAAGAATATGCTTCATGTGGGATAACTGCTGCACCATTTCACATTGCCAGAGGTGGTTACTGGGGCAACGGGGCGGATATCAATCAGACAGCACTAATCCAACAGGAAATCGCAGACAGCATGCAAATGACTGTCACTTATAACAAACTGGTGAGGTGTAACAGCCCACGAAAACATAAAAACTAAAATATATGCTGACAACTGGGAAAGTTTCTCATCAAATCAGAGTGATAGGTGTGCGAGACTCTGGTAGATTCTACTAAGTCTTTTCAAAACAGGATGAATAAACTGATACAATATTGAACTTATGATAGGTGTTTTAGCAAGTTTGGCAAGTCTAAAGAATCAGGTCATCACGGACTCTGTCGACTGGTGTGAGCACAACGCTTAAACATCAAGGAGATGGTAATCGACTTCAAGAGAAAATCACTTTAGCATACTCCGTTGAAGTCCACAGGGGGAGGACATTGAGCTGGTGGACAGCTTCAAGTACCTGAGTTTTTACATTAACAATAAACTGGACTGGTCCCATAACACCAACGCCCTGTACAATAGGTCACCTCTACCTTCTGAGTTCGGAGTGAGCAGGCCTTTATTGACTCTGTGGTAGCTTCTGCCATACCATACCGTGTGCTGGGCCCTGGACAGAGCGGGACAGAAGTAGACTGAACAAGCTGGTCAGGAGGGCCAGCTCCACTCTGGGCTGCTCCCTGGACTCTGTGGAGGAGGTGAGGGACAGGAGGGTGCTAGCCAAAGCCACCTCCATCATGAACAACACCTCCCACCCACTGCACAGGACTGTAGAGGAGCTGAGCAGCTCCTTCAGTGGAAGACTGAGGCACCCTCAGTGTAGGAAGGAACGCTATCGCAGGGCCTTTATCCTCACCGCTGTCAGACTGTACAATAAGTCACTTTAAATCACTAATGCACTAGGACTAAAACCCTGCACTGCTATTGCCACTCCTTCTTTAATTGCCACTTTTTACATAATGATATCCTGCACATCTGGGATGAGAATCAATACCTCCAAATCTGAGGCCATGGTGCTCGACCGGAAAAAGGTGCCTTGCCCTCTCCAGGTGGGTGGAGAGGTCCTTCCTCAAGTGGAGGAGTTCAAGTATCTCGGGGTCTTGTTCACGAGTGAGGGAAGGATGGAGCGTGAGATTGACAGGCGGCTCGGTTTTTTTTCTTCACATCAGGAAGAAAAAAAACGGACGGACGGACGGATGGATATCCTGCACAGACTATATCATCAACCTTAAACATGTTGCACACTTCTGTCTTTTGCACAATCGGAGTGATTCTATCTATGCCAAAAGTACATTTAACAGATCAACACAGTCTGTCTTATCTTATCTTATTTTAAGGCATATAGGAATATTTGTCTTTTTACTGATCACTTAAGTCATACTAAAGTAACCATGATCTGAAATTGGATTCTTCCACTTCATCCATTGCCAGGTCATGGGGGCAGCAGTCTAAGCAGAGGCTGGGACATGGAACACCTCCACAAGGAGGCCTCCAGGAGGCATCCCAAACAGATGCCCAAACCACCTCAACTGGCTCCTCTCAACTTGGTGAAGCAGCAGCTCTACTCTGAGCTCCTATCTCCCCAGCCACTCTGAGGAGGATGTCAGTGTATACTTTGTCTGGCATGAAGAAAACAATATAGGTCTCTTTACTGGTTCATGTTGGATAAGTAGTGTTTTCAAAAAAGTGTTCAAAAAACATTTTTAGGGCTAGCAAGGCTAGGCAAGTTTTTTTGTATTGCACAATTCCAACACAAGGCAACTCAAAGTACTGAACAAAACAAAATTGAAACACAAGGCATTAAAAGAATAAATGATCACAGTGCATTAAGAAATATAGATACAAATATAACGTTATATGCACAGTTTATTGTCAGAGAAGAGGCCTGTCTCACATTTTCAGGTAAAATTCTCATTTGAATATATTGTATCAAATTCACTGATACATTGGAACAAGGGCCTCCTGGGGTTTTCCACATTTGCAGCAGAATTTTGCCATAACAATATGCAGCCTCCCCCTGTTTAGTCTTGACTCTGAGCACCAACAGGCAGGCCCGTCCCAAGGGGGGTGCGAGGCCCTGTGCGAACTCGAAACGCGAGGCCCTGCCCTGACACTTTTTTCCCAGATCTGAGGAAAGTTTTTCCTGTTATAATCTTTGACATGAATTCAGCACCACCTCGCGCGGTGCTTGACGAGATCAGCACGCGTGTAACCGAGTGTCTTCGCTCCTATGCAGCGTTTGGCGCGCGCACGTACACACGCACACACACTCTACGTGCAATATTGGTCGCGGTCTTTTTAGCTGACATGTCTCTTTCGTCCTGTGGCAAAATGGTAGAGCAACTCAAAAGATTGAACCAAAAGGAGTCTTTTTCTTCTAATAGTTAGATTTTGGCAAAATGCGCCAAAATGGCTATGAGGCGGAGTCAATATTATTTTTTTCTCATCAAATAACGTTTTTGCCATGCCTCCACACACTCTGACAACATACGCTCCTCCTCCTCCACACTGACAACAACAAAATACTCTTCACCTCCTCCTCCACACACTCTGACCACAACAAAAACACTCCAGCTAGCTAAAGCTAGACATACAGTGTGTTTGCTAATGCTTTTAAAAATATGTTTTTGATGTGGATATTCGGACTAAACATTGGCAATAGCAGCGCTCACACACCTGTCACACCGCTGATCCTCCTCCTCCTCCTCCTCTGCTCACACAAAGGGGTCTGCTCCTCTGCTCACACCTGTCTCACTGCTCCTCCTCCGCGAGTATCCATCTCTCCTACACTGCGATCATTCCCGTTACTTTCTTTGTATCTCACTCAGACACTGCTAAAGTTATCTGACAGTTTTTTCGGAGGACCCGTTGCATACATAGCTGCCCGCGCGCCTGCCTGTTTACAAATCGCTTTTGGTGAAAATTTGACTTTACTTGTAAAAATGTTCTTTTGATCAAACGAAATCAAAGAGGTCCAGAGAAAGGGGTTTAGGGTTCCAAATTTGGAGTGCAGTCTGCCCTTTGGGGACCCTTGAACTAGTGTATTTATAAAATAAAATAAAAGGAAGGAAGATTGCGAGGCCCCTGTGTGGTGCGAGGCCCTGTGCGACGGCACAGGTCGCACAGCCCTTAGGACGGGCCTGCCAACAGGAGTCCAGTCCCTGTGCTCCTCAGAGTCCGAGTTGGTTCATATGTCACGAACATCCACTTTAGTGCGAGGCCTTGGAGAGACTTGTTTTAGGATCCTGAACTATAACTTATCACAGCACTGCCACTATTACAGCACAGTCACACTTATGATCTCACATTGCTATATTGAATACATGTTGGACAATATCGTTGGCTTGGAAAACAAATTGCTAACTTACGCAATAACTGTGTCACCAAAGCCTAGAAAAACCAAATCAAATCCCCCACGGAGCAACGAGTAATCTATTAAACGTTAGAGACTAATAAATGAGCAGCATGCGACGAATACTAAACACTGTATGATGAAATATGAACAGATGTGTGTTAGAAGAATGGTCAGAGACAGAGCAGTGCAATCATCGAGCTGTGGAAAGGTTAAACTCTGAAGCATGTGCAGCATTTAATGAGAAAGAAGTCATTTATTCTGCATTGTGTGTTTAATGAGGAATCATTTAGATATTACACCTGCTGCATGTGTGTCCTGCCTTTGGACTTAGCAACTCTTCTCCCTCTTCTTCTTCTCCCTCTTCTCCTTCTCCTTCTCCCTCTTCTCCTTCTCCCTCTTCTCCCTCGTCTCCTTCTTCTTCCTCTTCTCCCTCTTCTCCCGCTTCTCCTTCTTCGTCCTCTTCTCCCTCGTCTCCTTCTTCAGCCTCTTCTCCTTCTGCTCCTTCTTCTCCTTCTTCTCCCTCTTCTCCTTCTTCCTCTTCTCCCTCGTCTCCTTCTTCTACCTCTTCTCCCTCTTCTCCTTCTTCCTCTACTCCCTCGTCTCCTTCTTCTTCCTCTTCTCCCTCGTCTCCTTCTTCAGCCTCTTCTCCTTCTGCTCCTTCTTCTCCTTCTTCTCCCTCTTCTCCTTCTTCCTCTTCTCCCTCGTCTCCTTCTTCTACCTCTTCTCCCTCGTCTCCTTCTTCAGCCTCTTCTCCCTCTTCTCCTTCTTCTTCTTTTTCTTCTTTTTCTTCTTCTCCCTCTCCCTCTTCTCCTTCTCCCTCTCCTCCTTCTCATCTTCTCCTTCTTCTCCCTCTTCTCCTTCTTCTCCCTCTTTTCCTTCTTCTCATTCTCCCTCTATTCCTACTTCTCTCTCTTCTTCTCAGATTCAGATTCAGATTCATTTATTTGCCATTTGCAGTAAAACCACATTGGAAAAACTGTGCAAGACTACCCCGGTGTGCGCCAGACAGAGACGACACACACCAGAGCTCTTGCCACGGCGCCATTTTTCCGGCGCCATGCGACAAACAGTAGAATAAACAGCAGAGAGCAATAACATACAGGTTACAACAGACAGTTGGATAGAAAACATTGTGCTTTTTATAAACCACGGATTTTTTTCTCGGGATGAGCACCTCTGGCTGCCGGTCCAATGTGGCTGTCAGAGGGGGGCGGGGTCAGGGAGGGGGTGAGTCGGAAACACAATGAGGAGGGGAGGGGAGGGAGAGATCAGAGGGAGGCGAGGGGAGCGGGATCCAAACTGGAAGACTGAAAGAGTCTCCCTCTTCTCTCTCGTCTCCCTCTTCTCTCTCGTCTCCCTCTTCTCCTTCTCCCTTGTCTCCCTTGTCTCCCTCTTTTCCCTCTTTTCCTTCTTCTCCCTCTTCTCCCCAACAGAATAATGTTAGACACAGAATATTGATAGACTGAGCAAATAACAATAATTTGGGGAAGTTTTCTGTTTTGTCTGAAACTTCTACTACCCATACTCTCTCTCCTGTCTCTTTTCATCCTCCTGCTTTCTCAGGTCATAGGTTTTTATTGGATCCTGAAGTTCCCATAATGTAGTTTGTCAGATTGGTGACACTTTCCTTAGAGAAAGCCATGTCCCTAGAAGCCTTGGTATTATGATAGTCCTTGATGTAAATATCATGTAACAGCCTATCACTGGCACATACCGCTCCCAGATCCCAAATCAGGTTAGTGAGACTTTCCCACAATGCACCTGTGCCTGCTCTGCCGTCGACACCAGGGCTGCAGCTCATTTTAGATTGGCCCGTCTCGAGAGAACCAAATCCCATTAAGTGAAAGTAACACAAACAGGCAGCTGGAGAGCCGCGGTGAAGGAGTAATGTCTCTGTAAACTTTAATGATGACTGCACTTTACAATTGAGTTGTAAAGATGAAAGAACACACACGCAGCTGAAGACCAGACTGTGTTGCCCGCACTGAGGCTAAACTGCTGCTGCCAAACAGGTAGAATTAAGTCTGGAAGCATAATATCCATTGTGCCGCTGTTCCAGAAATCACAATAGTTGGCCTCCTATAATAAAGTGTAAATCAGCTTTCAATAAGAAACACAACATCTGATCAGAAATGGACATAAATTACAGGGGGGAAAATGTCATATAAATCCAGCTGATCTTTATATATTTATTACTTTTTTTATTCAAGAATGTGAAATAATCCTAAATAAATTATGAACTTTTATCAACATTCATGGACATTGGACATGTTCTATATTTTTTGTGTTATAGAACAAGTATCGGTCCAATACTGTTTGATTCTCTGAACTGTGTTGCCAATTTTAATGGTTTTGTAAAGTCCTCTGAGAGATTTAGGGCTATACAAGAATAAATTGAATTGTATTGACTCTCTTTGCGACCGTCAAAGGGAGGAGGTGAATTGGTTTTCTGACAGATGACCTAAACCGCTCTGAGTGTGATGTCATAGTGATGTCATAGTGGTGCAATGACAACACACAACCACAGGACTGCGACAGGATATACATTTTCATTAATCACATTAAAAAATGAACGCATTTGACGCAGGTCCGAATGACCCGCCCATGCATCCCATAATAACACTCAGAGCCGCAGACACATGAGTGTGTAAGATGTTGACAGAGCAGGTAGGCCCTCTAGGAATTGAAGTTTAAAAATAATACACACGTGACCGCGGGGCTGTTGTTTGCTGTATTAATTTGATCGGGGGTCCACATCTTCCATGGCCGCAACGTTCTGACCCGGGGCAGCTGCGGCCCTAGCCTGGTCGTACCACACCTTAGTACAAATTACATTTCGTACTAAGGTCTGGATTGGCTCCGTTGCGCTCCGTTTACAGGTGGGAGGGGTTAACTCCTTTTGCAGATTGAAACGATTGGATCAGAGTTTACCGTGACGTATGTAGTGCGCGCGAGTCTGTTGTTAGCATTTAGCCTAGCCATCTCCTTTGCCGCTAACGGAGCCCGTGGGGAGTAGCGCCACAATCTTGACCAGCGATTACATTTGCTAAACATTACCCTTGCTCCTGCTTCAATTTCTTGATAGAACCAGACTGGATTACTTTACTATCGCATTCTTCGCCATTGCCAAACTACAGCCTGCGTGATCGACGCAAACTCTTGCCGTCACCGGCACCGACCTACAACACCCGCCTTCCGCGCTCTCTGAGTTGCCGGTTGAAATACGACCGATTGTATTCGCAAACATGGGGACCAGACCCAGACGTTACATGCAGTGAAATGATGATTGAGCGGAGGGTACGGATGGCTATGGCCAGGCTACTGCGGCCCCTCTGGGCAACAACATGGTAAACATAACGTCCAATCCAAGACCATACATGCCACAGGACTATTCTCTGCTTGTTGTGTGCATGTCTTTGCATAATCTGTGCGTAATCTGTGCCATTGTATGTGGATTTATTGCTTTAATAAAACAAATACAGCACATATGTACACTGTGTTGTCATTTATCTTTCCATTCAAACAACCATTTACAGAAAAATTGGCATAATTTTGACTAGTTCAAAATGCGATTAATTACGATTAATTCCTTTTAAAGCTGTAATTAACTTGATTAAAAATGTGGATTGTTTGACATCCCTAATATACACATAAATCTTAGATACGTGTTCTGATTTTTACTACGTCTAACTCTATTCTCTACCTCTCTTCTTTTGACTGCACGTAGAGCTAAAGCAATGTCCTACTCTGTGTTACTTACCCTGTTTAGACAAAAGGGGCGGAGCTACAAGTTAGTGTGCATGGGTCTAAAAACAACAACAAGGTTTGTTGCACAATGTTGCAACATGGTTATTTGATCCAAAGAGCACATTTCTATAATGCAGTATGTCCTGTCTGCGTTCCATGGTACAATTAAATCATATAATTAAGAGAATCAAAGACAACTCCAAAAACGACAAGAAAAAATATGACTCTAAAACTGGTCAAACTATAACATTATAAACAGTCTTTATGTTATTGGTTGCTAAAGTCCCTCAAATCAAGTTCAGAAATATGTTGTGATTACTACACTATTTGGAAAATGGCTTACTATGTATAAACTTTACAGAGAGATCAACTTTAAAATGTCTCCCTGCTCCCTGTGCCAGCAGTCCTTTGTATTGGCCAGCTGTGTGTGTCTGGGTGTTATTATGTGTGTGTGTTTAGTGTGTGTCTATCGATGTGTCGCTGCCTCTGGAGAATGATTTACAGAGCATCGATTGTGGAGTTCAGTGCTGCAGCTGCAGAATAAAACCACTGTTTACAGCATCTCCAGTGTTTATTGCCGAGACCCATGCCATCTTGTTTCAACGCAGAGAACGCAGAGACACTTCACATGACAAATATTCTCCATGAAAAGCACGAGACACATATGGAGCTCATGCCATCAACTTTGAGTCATAAGTCCAGAGCTCACGGGAGAAGGTACGATGGAAGCTTGTTGTACATTTCAATAAAGCAGACGTTTGGGAGACGCACAAGGACAAGGATCCACAACTTAAAGGAAACATAGGTTCAGCCATTTCAGCGTAAACACTGGGACTCTCACAATTATGAAACTACTGCAACTCCCAGGGCCGACATTTTGACTGCTCGGAGAAATGGGCGCGACATTATTTTGATAATAAGGCTCCCAGAGATTTTAATATTGCAACCCTCCCATTTGAAGATCATTTCTTTCAAGGCTCAGCAGATTTTACCAGTTCTAATGAAAGACCTTGACCTGAAGGTATCTGCAGCTCAGTGTCTATGAATGTGCTCCAAAACGCCGTAGTGAACAGGTGGCCCTTGAACACACCACTTTTGAGACGCTGGGCTTAGAGGGAGGATATAAAGAGATTTCAAAGAGCCAGTTTCTCCTTGGAAAATACTGAAACCATAAGGAGAAAGTGGAAGATTTCTGCTGAAGCGGAATAGCCTTTGCACGATGGTCTGGGTTGAAAAGACATATAAGGAGCTCTTGTAGTCTCCTAAAAGGATTAGGCGTATCAAGTGGAAGTCATTTAGTGATTGTGCATGGTTTAATGAAACAGCCGGACTTGCTCAACCTTGAGAAGACAAGAGGTGAGGCACAAGCACCATGCGTTTGATTTATGGTCCAAATTTACTCCGATCGATATTAATAAGGATGAAAAAAGCATCCATATTTAATAAAACAGGCCATGCTGTAAATGCCATGGCTGACTCAGGGTTGCTAATATGGATTTTAAAATGTCAAATCCTGATGGTTTGTGAACGGACAAAGAAAGCTTAATTCTAGTGACGTCAACAAAAGATCAACGCAGAGTAAAATGCAATCTATTGTGTTGTAGTTTAATGCAAAATGACTAATGTGGTGTCGCACTATTTTTAATTTTGATTTATTTTTCTTGAATCATGAACACAATTTGCTGTAAATTTGATAGACGTCTTTTCTTACATTTTCTTCAAATATTTTCATGTTTTATCTGATTCTGCACGTCCTGTAAAAGAACTGAGCTCATATCCATTGCATCCCTCCGTCTCCCACAACATCACAGGTTAGCCGTCTACTTATTCAAATGTATGCAATAACTGAGAGCCTCTCCCCATAATCAGATCAAAATTTTGTTATTGTAATCTGAGAGACTTGGTATCTACAGACATTTGCCGCCTTCATCAAAAACAACATCACTGCACACTATGTTTTCCTCTATTTTTAATTGGTCAATTTTCACACCATTTAAATGTGGCACTATTGTTGTCCGAATGAACTTGTATGAAGCAGTATTATGATATCCCAATAAAACATTAAACAAAATTCATCTAATTAGTTCAGACCTCTCAAAAACAGTTTGCTCTAACACTTTCACATGCATTCTTGTGGCAGAAAACTGAAACAGTGGATCCCCTCCTTCAGCCAATCAGCCTCTCTCAACCCAAAACGTCGTGATCCACATGAGCTAGCTAAGAAACATAGCAGCTACTTATTTTGTACATTTTGTGTGCTCCCTGTGTGCTCTTACTACTGTCCTGTATGTGTGTTGCAACATTGAAATTTCCCCACTGTGAGATGATTAAAGGATCTCTTAGCTTATCTTATCTTGTTTTAAAGAAAAAAACAAAACTCCAGTGCTCAGTCTTACTCTGCCCACATGAACATTCAAAAATGACAAGAAGAGGGGTTTAGGGTTGGGCGTGGTCAGTTGTCATTGCTGCTTAAACCAAGAGTTTACTGTAGAAACCAGAAATTATCATTCCACGTTTGTTTACACACACTAAGATATTTGTATTGCTAGTGTCCTGAACCTAAGCCACGGAAGTCTCTCAGTAGTGGCTCCCAATAGACGTCACACATCACTCCAGAGCCAATGGAGAGGCCAGGAACCAAATCCACGCCAAAAAAGTAGAGAGGGCGCCACACAGACGTTTTTAAGCTCAGAAGTCAGATTTGATCTTATTTGCACTAAAATGTCAAAAAAAAGGATCAGGACATGTACAGAGGACTTTAAGAAACATATTTATGCATTTTATAGGTTTAAAAAAAGTAAATTTGGTGAATAGTTGTCCTTTAAGTATGCAAAATGTAAAGTATTTGTTATCAGATAAATATTATAAGTTACTTTGATCATATTTCTGTTGGTAAAAACAAAATGTAAAACTTAGCCTGAAGAAAACCATGAGCTTTAATACATAGTTTGGTCCTTGTTAAATGTTAGATACATAGATTATAATCTAGCAGTCATTCGTTCACACTGTAATTATCACAGATAATCCATGCGCCCTGAGCCCTCATCACTGTGG